GTATATGGAAAGGTCTTGTAACTAGTATTTAGGACAGTGGATTCCCAGGGAAGAGTTACTACATCTTGGAGCAGCAGGGCAGGGAACAGCAAGGCAAAGGAAAGGCGGGGATTCTCCTATGGGGGCATATCAGAGTGATGGTCTCCAGAAGTGGAAGAGGAAGGTGGAGGTGTAAAGCTTGACAGGTTTGTTCCATGTTGCTCAGTGTGGACCTTTGAGCAGAAACCATATTTTTCAAATTCTGGAAAGTGGATGGGGTAAATTCTTTTAGAATTCTTGCAAAATTATATATAAGTAGAATCATAGAATATGATGAGTTGGAAGGGACCCACAAGGACCATTCAGTCCAAATTCTGGCCCTGCTCAGGACACCCCAAGAATCTCACCATGTGCCTGAGAGTGTTATCAAATGCTTCTTGAACTCTGACAGGCTTGGTGCTGTGACCATTTCCCTGGGGAGCCTGTTCCAGTGTTCAACCACCCTTGGGGTGAAAAACCTTTTCCTTATATCCAGCCTTAACCTCCCTTGATTCAGCTTGATGCCATTGCCTTGGGTCCTGTCACTGGTCATGAGAGCGTAAAACTGGTATAAATAGAAAATTGAACTTGGCTATAAAGTTTTGTGAAATTATTGATGAAAGGAAGAACTTCATTACAAAGAAAATCCCTGAAGGAACATGAGATGGAGAGGGTGCCAGAAGGCCTCCAATGACTTTGGTGCTACCAGGTGCTTTCTGGGTCCCAAACCTGTGCAGTTTTCATCACTGCTGATGGCACATGAGCTCTTCATTTGCCATTAACTGCAGTGTTTCTTCAAGAGCTCTGCTCACAATACAGTATTTGTGTATCCCAGGTGAATACAGAGCTTGGTCATCATCATTGCTTGGACAGACCTCTCTGGCAAATGCCAGTGGGGACTATGTTGCATTGTCATTTCTCAAAGCACCTCCCAAATGTGTGTGGAATCATTAGAGTTGTTTTAAAAAATGGTTTATGAACTTAAGTGGTTAGCCCAAAGTAATTCATCATGCCAGCACCAGAGGTAGAACCCATGTTTCCCAGCTTCCCAGTCGCAATAAGCATTTATTCCCTCTTTGCTCAGCAGAGAGACAAGGGCCCTGGAGCAGGAAAGTCAAGAGATCTAAAAGTAGCATGTTCTTCCTACGACTTATCAGCTGTTCACAGCACATATGGCCAGAAAGGAAGCTTAAATAATTCAGTCTCACTCCTTTATATTGCAGCTCAATTTAACCTAGTTGTCCCTCCAGTAAAGCTGTTACCTGTGCTTGCCTTCCTAAAATACTTTTAGCTTCAGTTTGCTTGCACCAAGAAACAGAGGATCTACTTCTTATGGTTTGGACTCTGTATTGATGTTTAATCCTTCTTGCTGCATCTGAGTCTTAGGATAGTTTGTCTTTCAGTTCTCAGGTGGTTACTCTGGCCACTGCTACAGCCTGTTTTCCATTTGGTACCTTTTGGGTTTTTTTTATTCATAGTCGTTACCTTTGTTTTGTCACTGAATCAGAAAGAAGCACCACCAGTCAGAGCCTGGCTCCCCTTTACTGAATGGTGACTTTTCTTCTTTGAGAGCTCTGTTCTGGATAGATTGATTTGTACTTTTAGACACCATAGTTGATTGTGTCTCTAGGGTTTGGCCCAGAAGTCTCTGACTGCAAAGGGCATTCAGTATATATAAAATTATTGTCTGATGAATTATTCCTGTGGTCTTATTTTAATGTTAAATTTCTCAAATGCATTTGAAAATTTCAGAGAAACCAAGACTGACTTCTCAAAAATAGCTCAAAGAAGAAAGCCTTGATAAAGGTAAAACCAGCTTGTTAAAGGCAGCTTGGGGTACCTCATAATCCCCAGGCTGTCCAAACATGCTCTTTTGACTCTGTGCCAATATATTCATTGAATTCTACAAGCCCTTCTCGAAGTGCAAATTCTTCCATTTCTAAATTACAGATACAAGGAGGGCTGTAGGATTCTAATGCCTAAATACAATGGAATATTTTCAAGCACAACATAAATATTGATTTAAAAAAACCAAACGAAAATGACAAAACCCCACAATGCAATGCTGACCTTTTAAACATTCATAGTCAGGTATGTCTGACTATCTCAGGCTTCTAAACAGGCCAAGTCAAAAAGGCAAATAGGGTGTTTGAAAGGGTATTTAGGTCTCTGATGTCCCTAGCTTTTCCCTGCAGTAAACTCCTGTTCTAATCCCCTTGCATCTCCTTGGGGTAAACGCTGCAGACTGGTCCTGTGATGTTTCCCACTGAGTTACTGTAGCCTGGCAGTGTGCTTGCTTGGATGCTAACACCTTTTTTTGAAGTTCTGAAGTTTCCCCAACACAAATAAACCTCAGGAATGTCAGCTCACCAGGCTAATTCGTGTGCAAGTGTTCAAAACTGTGTATGCTTTAGTTGCTCCTTTGGCTGGTTTTGCTGGGAGGAAGGTTCCGAGAAAGTGGAATGTTAAAACTCAGTGCTGTTGCTTCCCAACTTCCACACCCTGTTATCAGCTGGTGCACCTGGATCCCCTCTCTTCTGACTGGAACTCCCTCCCTACCGACACAGTGGTTCTGAACTGCAGACATCTATGGAATTACGGTGAGTGCTAAGGAGCTGGTTACTAGTAGGGGCTGATGAGAAAAGCTGGAGTGATTGGTGTTATAAAACGTTGGGAGCTGCTCTGTTTAGGCAGCTTGGAGAAGAGTAAGTGCAGGGAACCCTGGTGTGGAAGGCTTGGGCATATCCCAGAGACTCCTTCATTTGTTTGTAGCCAGGAGCTTGTAGAGAGTACTTAATTGGGCATGACTCTTTGCAGATTTTGGGCATATGTGTGAAATCTCCTTCAAGGAGAAGCTCTCACTATTTGGCAAATTTTTTTTCTTGGACAAAATTTTCAGTTCATGGTCCGTACAGAAGCTGTTCACTGATTTGAGTGTGGCTCTTCCTTCATGTTTCAAAAGTGGACACAAGGCTCAGGAGGGACATGTCATGAAGTGTCATATAACAGAAAGCTGGAATCATTACACTCAAATCTTTTGTAGAACGAAGTCTCTTATTGACATAAATAAAAAAAATTCTATCCTTGCACACATGTACATAATTCTCAGTGACAGGCCTGGTAACTGACAGTAAGATGTGACCCTGCTGGCCTAGTTTTCATACTGTTGTACATGATGGAATAATTCAAATCAGCATTTGATCTTATGAATTTAATAGGCAGTCATTTCCATTGAATTTAAAGTTGATTGATCTATCAGGTCTTGCAGTTAAATAAAAAAGTGTGTGCAGAGAATATTTCTATTCAGTGTGTTGCAGGGGCTGCTATGTTTCAGGACAGATGCTTGCAGAGATGTGCTGGTAGTCACTATGCTGTGTTTGCATACTAATCAATGAGTTCAGGAAGCATTATACTTGAGAAATCCTCAGCTATCTTCTGTAGAACAAATTTGATCTTTGATACTCAGGGGAAAAACTTCAGGAGTATAAAGCCTTAAGTGTCTCTGCCTAGCATTCTGATTACTACTTATGCATGTTTTGTAGGTCTGGTGTTAAAAGGACTTTCTTTAAGATATGCAATGCTTAATAAAGATCATTTTGAACTAATTCGTTGTGGTATTTTTGCACAAAACTGCATGGCCTGGAAGCAGTGAAACACACATTGCACTGGTTTGATCAGGGGATCGTGTTTTAATAGTTCTCTGTATTAGCACTACAGGAAAAGAGGCATTTATTATGCTGTGATGCATGTTTGCATCAGTGGTAACTCCTTGCTGGTTTGTGTTTATAGTAAGCAGTCTGTACCTTTCCTTCCAGTCTATTTTTTCAGGAAAGCCTGATGTTACACTACACTTAACTTACTTTTCACCATAGTAATTTGTTTTGGCATTGTGTGCTCAGGGCTAAAATATCCTCACTGCTAATAGCTTCTCTCACGGTGACGGAGGCAGGTATTGATCAGGTTAATTTTGGTGCCTCCAGCGGGCTTGGGGAATCAAAGGTGTTAACGGGATGCTGTGATGTAAAGCAGTTTAACAAGATTCAGGGCTTCACACCAGTTTTTCCTCCCCAGAAAAGCATGTTATCTATGGCAACAACCACTACAGAGAAAAAAGTAAATATTTTTGATAGGGTAAATTAGCTGCTTTGCAGACTTCTAAAGAGTGCTTCACATGACAGTTCTTAGGGGGGCAAGGGAGGGAAAAGCTTGATGTGAGCATTTTGAGTCCATGATGTGACATGCTAAAGAACAAGCCAGAGTATCCCAAGGCACTCAGAAGAGGGTATCAGGAGAAGTAAAGAGAGAACATGTGCCAATGAGCTGGTGCACAGCCCTGTGGCAGGAGGAGGGTGGCTGTGGTGCCAGATGTTACACCCAGTCTAAGACCTGCTGAACTCATCACAGCTTCAGCCTGGGTGGCACGTTGGATTTCAGTGTCTCAGCTCCTGTCTGAGACTGAGTGGGAGCAGTGCCACTAACCTGACCCTCATGACAAGACCAGAAGAGGGGCACCATGGCCCCAGGGTGTACCAGGCCCTCTTTGCCTACTGGAAAACACGGTTGGTACCCTCTGGGATACGGGCAGCAGTCTGACCCCTGTCTGGTTCGGATGCTGGTGGAGGGGCCAGTGATGGGGGTTAGCATTCGGGCTGAGTGACAGGGACTTGATTTGGCTCCTGGGACAGTGGTGAAGGTGTGGCAGGCCTCGCCCCCAGCCCCTGATGTAAGGATTCCTCCACTACCTACCCCTTCACTTCCTGACTCCTGGGGTGCTCTCCTTCCCTGGACCTGGACAGGGCTCCTGCCTGGGCTTCTTGGCTGCCTGCAGATGGGTGAGATGCCGGGACTGAAGCTGTGGGTGTTTGCATCCCCAACAGGCACATGTGAGCAATGTGCCTTTAAGACTAGCAGGAGAGCAATAGTATCTCCCTCCCTCCTGTTAATTGTAGCATGTTTTCAGCCATGCTTTCCAGTCACATTCGCAGGCTGTGAGAGGGAGCAGCGCTGACGCTCGCCAGCCGAGTGCCATCCGGACAGCGCCTGCCCGCCCGCGGTGTGGGTGCCTGCAGGTGATGGGGCAGCGCCTGGGACCGGAGAGCTTTGTGCCGGGAGCAGGAGCTCTGTCTGCCTGAGTTTCGGTGGCACTGCTGGGCTTGCCACGTCACTTGTGCCCCTCTCGTGTCCCTCACCTGCGTGGCCCTGGCCTCCAGCCGCAGGTTCAGCACGCTGGACACCCCGTCCTGCGGGCCCTCGCAGGGGCTCCCATGTGAGCCAAGGGCAGTGAGTGCTCTGCCGGAGCCTGGGGATCTGCAGCGGGTGATGCAGCGGGAACCGTGCACTGCCTGGCCGGGGATGCTGTGGGCTGCCGTGGGAATGCCTGGCTCCCTGAGCGCGAAGTGACTGCAACTCACACGAGGTTGGGACTACTTCTCGGAAGATGCCCTGTTTGTCTCCAGTCGTTCCTCTCTGGCCTCACCGCAGAATACCTGGAGTTGCTAGCTTCCTCCTGCCGAGGGGGGACAAAGGCATAGGCCTCCAGAGGGTTAAGAGCATCTGCCTTTACGCCAAGTGTTCGAGCAGGAAATAATCTGCAGAGATACATGTGCAGCAATTCAACTGCTGCTGCTCTCTCAGGCTGCCGCTGCTGCAGTTCGGGGTGTGAGAGGAGCCGCGCTGCTCGCAGAAGATGCTTTCTTGGTGTGTCCGAAGCTCCAGGCATGGCAGGAGAGCCCCGGCTGTCTGAGCTGGGGTAAATGTCTTCATCCAAGAGGAATTATGTGGACTTGCTGGCTCTGTCGGCTCACAGAGGTAGGTGCTGCTGCTTGTGCAACGTGCTGTGATCTTTGCGGGGGGGGATACAGTCCTCTCCTCATTCTGGGCTATAAAATTTTTTAAAATTTTCCTTGGGAACAGGGTTTAATTTGAAGTCTATAACGCCAGACAGAAAAATGTGTGTGTGGTTTCTGCATGTGCAGCAGGGAGGAGAAAGCAAAAGGTACCTGAGTGATACCTTTCATGACTGGCAATAAAGTTGTTGCACTTGATTGAAACAAACTTGCCTTGGTCTCTCTGGAATGCACCTGGGAGCTTTTGCTTCTTCCTGGCATATGACCTTTAGAAGGGGTTGGCTGCAGTATGGTGGGTTATGCTTTGGTTCGGAAACTGGGACACACTGCACTCTACAGGTTCTTTCATTCTGCTCCTGTGGACGTGGGGAGGACAGAGGGCACCTACACAGAAAATGTTGCTGACAGGGAGGTGGTTTTTTTTGAGGAGTGAAATTACACTAAGAGGAAGAAAAAAGGTGCTCTTCTCTGAGAAAGAGGAAATGTTAAGGTCCTAAAGGTTGATCTTGGTGTTTGGAAGTAGAAGAGGAAAATTGTTTTAGAAGCAGCCTGTGTCTGGTTTTTGTGTTTTGCTGTTCCACCTTTTTGGAGAGGAGTTTAGTACTCTGCTAAGTACTTTGCCACCTGGAATCTTTGCTTGAGGATTTTTTTTACAGCAATACCTAGGAGAGAAAAACTATCAACGCCATCAAATTTCCTTTGGCTTGTTTAGGAAGTTGCCTTCTTGAGAAATCCCTGACAAAATCATCATCAGCTAATACTGTTCCATTCTCACTGTCAGGGCATGCTTTTTTTGGTTTATCTTGAGACCTCTGGTGGGAGCTTTATTCTGTAAAGATTAAGCTGAAAGGAAAGTTTTCGGTTTCCCTGGAAAAGCAGGGTGTTGGGCATTGAATACCTATTTGATTTTGTTGTCCTGATTGACCCACATATGTATGTTTGCATGTTCTCCTGAGTGCAGACTCTGCCAGGAAAATCTTGCTGCTCAGAATAGGCAGGTGTTGCCTGGATTATGTACCTGCATCACATGGAGAGAGGTTTGTGTGTGTTTCTGGCATTGCAGGTCTATTAAGATAGCACAACCAACAGTGCCATTGCTGTGTAACAGTTTCAAAAGTGTTTCTGTGGCATCCTGGCAGAACAAATGTCTCTTTCCTAACTGCACTGTTGAGGAAAAAGAGCAGCACTATCACACTGCAAATCTTTTTAGTCACTTTTATTTTCTTTGCTCAGGTAACAACTGGAATGTGTTGTCACCTGAGCAGTTTGGTCAGAGCATTTGCAATTGCTTCCTCAGCTTCCCCAGGGCTGCTGTGCTGTGTTTGACTCAGCACTGACATATCTCTTAGGGAAACGTAGAGTAAAATCCCCTTTTTCTCTCTATTTTGGGCCCAAATTACAGACAAGAGCATGCTTCCTTCTTTGCAAGAACAGGACACTTGTGCACCCTCCTCTGGGGTCCTGTAGAGAAGACCTCTTCTGCTCTGCAAGATCTCTGTGTTGGAGCTGGAGGAGCAGGAGTGGGTCTGGTTGATTCACTGCCGTGTATGAATAAAGAAGCTAAAACCCCTGCTGGGGATGGAGGCCGTGATGACACCTGGGAAGTAGCTGCTCCTCTCTGTCCTGAGAAAGAGGATCCCTTCTTACTCACATACTAGGTAGATTTGGGCAGCAAGGCTCCATAGCAACACTAATTTCTGCCACGAAGAGGAGAAAAATCTCCTGGCTTCACTCAGAGAGGTGAAAACAGAAATGTATGAACATTCAGTGGCATCTCAGTGTAGTATTGGCGTAAGGTGATCTGCATGACTTTTTTCTAGAAGAGCATTTATAAAAGCTGGTGAGCACTAAGTAATACCATTGTCTGTGCAGGAAACACTAGAAAAAAATATATATTAGTCATACCATTTACTGCTATTTGCACAAAGGCAGAATGGTGATTAGAACTGGTTGATTAAAGTAAAATGCTTCTCACAAACAAGATTTCAAAACTCAAAATTAATTTGGCTATTGCTGGGCGGCAACTATTTTGGTGGTCTTTGTGTCTCTATTCCAGCAAGTGTATTTTTTTAAAAGGTCCTTTTACTAAAACAGCAAAATGTTGGGGCGTATTCCCATGTGATGTGTTCTGAAGGAGTGGATGGGAATGCGTTCCTGACAGCCATACTCGTATCCACTCAGGAAACCAAACCAGTACATTTGAACTGCTGATTATTTCTGAGCAGCTTCTCTGGTCAGTAATAAAGTTTTGCATTAAACTCGAATTATGTGGAAGTTGAGAGCTATTTGCTAGAGTTAATAATGGTAATTTAAAAAAAATTGTAATTTGTTACAATGATAACTGGTCAGCATTCCATGTCACGCACACTGCACTGATGACCTTCCTCTGCCCGACAGTCACATCCTGTCCACCCTGTAGAGTGAGGGCAGGGACTCCCTGGTGTGCCCTGCTGCAACATGGGGGTGAGCTCTGTGTTCTTATGGGTGCAATGGTAGCAGTGGTGATGGGATCTCTGTGGGCTTTGCCTTTTTGGAGACAAATGCCTGGCAAACCATGCTGGAATGGCTGGCCAGTCACGTGCTGCCCATCAGTCACAGGTGGAGCTGGGAATGGATAACAGACAGGGGCAAAGGAAGTAGATTGGATCTTCAAGAACTATTTGCTAGGGAGTGATTTCCCGGGTTTCTGTGGGGAGGTAAATGTAGGCCAGTCCTTAGGTGCCTTCACTCTTTCAGCAACTATTGCATTTTTATGGTTTGGGTACTGCTTGTAAACCAGCTACAGGTGATCCAAGCCTCTGGTCCGGAAACTGTTGAATAGGAGATGAAACTGTGCCTTTCTGACAGTGCCTGGAGTATCTACAAGAGACTGTGCTACTGCATTTGAAATCTCTCTGGCTTTGTACCACTTATAAAATGCATTCACAGTAGGTGGTGGCATCAGCCTCCTCTTAGTGAATGCAGATATTTATGTTATGCAAAAGGTTTTCTCACTTTGCTGCATTCAGATGATGACTGGAGATACCATTCTTGTTAGATAAAAAATTGAGTCTGACTTTAGAGGTGAATTCAAAGACCGATTTCTATTTAGTATATATAGCAACAAATAGGAACAAAGCTGCTTAAAGAGTACTTTAATGATGAATCATTATATTACTCTAGCCAGTCTGAAAGGCAATAAAAGTAAAAATGGTGCTAGGATTTAGTTGCTTAGAAAATTCACAGAAAGGGACTGTATTGTAGAGAGGGTTTTAGCCCACATCAAAGGAATGTTTTGAGGTACAAAAATATCAAATGACTTTCCACCCCAAAGATAAGAGGCAGCTGCTATCTATTGTTTATTGTTCCAGAAGGTTATTTTCTTTTGTTGTTAGTCACTCTTAATTTATTGGGTTTTTTTAAACCCTGACTGATTCCCCCCTCCCCGTTTCAGGACTGATGCTGTCATAATACTTTTTCAACGCTATAATTTTTATTACCAATCCTAATTAAGTGCTGTAACTTTTGAGAATCAGATTAATTTGAACCATCAGCGCAGTGCAAACGCTGTTATCATCGGAGACCATAAAATGTTCAAGGCACCGTAATTTTACTACATAGCTGCAGTGGCATCTGTCCAAGGATCTGGCTACCTTTGTTTAGCTGACATGGACTGTAATGTGTGTGCTTCTGAGCAGTGCAGCATGAATAGAAATGATATGTTCCTCAGCTGTTGGATTGCACATTGTAGCCATAAGTCAACAAACATTAGAGAAAAGACATCACCTCTGCCATCACTGAAACACTCCTTCCATGCTATAAATATTGTATGAATTCTATGGTTTCTGCACAATAGATAAAAGGACAGATAGAGGTGGGAGGTTGTTGCACATCAAAACTGCACATCACTGGTGAGCTGGGTAGCAGTGGGCATGATAGAGTTTGCCACACTCTCACCCAAGATTTTTCCGCCCTTGGCTCACAGTCCATGAAATCGGGTTGCACAGGAGCTGCTTCAACTGGTTTGATCTCCAGCCAGGACACATTGATCATCAGTTCAGTGTCCTGAGCAGCAGGACAGGTTCCAGTAATCTACTTCTTTTTAGAACAATTTCTGTATTTTGATTTTTTATTTTTTTTCCCCACAGATATTGGGTAGCAAGTAGTGAATTTTGATGCCAACTCAAGCGGTGGCAAAGTTGGTCTCTGTGCTCTGTCCCAGCTTTATTCCTTAGGTGGTGACATTATGGAAGATCTCACTGGTCATTACAGATATAATTACCTGGCACTGACAGACAGAGAGGTGTTAATCTGACACTGCAAGCATTTAGGTTGGAGCTTCATGTTTAGGTTTTCTTCACAGCAGACAAAAAGGCACTTTGAGAGAACCATTACTCCTACTTATTTTAGGAGCCTGCAGCAAGATGAGATGAAATGCAGACTAGAGATACCCAGCCTTCTCCAGTCCCACAGATGGAGCCTGTGTAACTGGTTTGGCATCAGGTGTGGGGGCAGTGGCAGCAGTGCTAGATGAGCTGGACCCCACCACAGACTGATTTCAGTCCACATTCAGCCAACTGCCAGCTCCACCCGGGCTACTCCAGGATCCTCTGAGGGGTTTGGTGCAGGATCTGACTCTGCCAGGTTTGGCTCTGCCTCACTGAACTTGAATTGCTTTGTCCATCCATGTTATCGAGTGGGACTGTGAAGCCTGTGCTGCTGTTTGCTACTGGGATGCTCAGTGGCAGATACCCTTATGCTTCTGCTCACTGGGACCTGATATTGCTAATTGATTCTATATACAATCTTTTTGACTGGTACTACAAGTCATGCTTTCCTCCCCTGCCCTATTAAACAGCAATAATATCCTCCAGACTTGTAAGTTCCAGGCTTCATGGTGAAACCAAAGTGGGAAAATTTGTATCAGTTTAGAGATTGATGTGAATGTTACCTGTTTGTGCCAGTGGGTTCTGTGGATCTCCTGCTCCTGCCCACTTGCCAACACCTTGACTGTATTCAGGGAGTTACTGCTGCAGAGAGAAGGCAATTAGTGTGAGATTTGTCCCATAAAAAATTTTTATATTTGGGATTTACCCAGTAGGCTTGTTTCAGACAAAATGTGGAATTCAGGAGCGTGTTTTCATGCCAAGAGCTGCAGCATTTGACCATGAATGTCTAGCTCAATTCTTTCAGCATATGCGACATTGAGGAAGCTCTGGGCAGACATGTATGATTTTATAGCAGCCATTGCTTGCAAAAGAAAAAATAATAAAGTGCAGAAGCATATTAATTATCCACTTTTTAATGTATATAGTGTTTTGCACACAGTTATTGTGGACATTGTTATCTGAAAGACTATAATCTTAATGTTTCTAATGGGGACTATTGTAGATTTACTGAAACTCTTACAGTTATGGTTTAAATTTGATATACACTCACTTTGAAAAAGCCTGTAGTTTTAGATTTTATGGTACCCAGTACTATGTGCTTGGTTTATGACAATAAAATCATAGCTGAATGCTGGAATAAATGTGAATTTATCTGTACCAAAGAGATCTTGTCTTGATAACTTACCTATTTTTAAATGTTAATCATCATATTCTCTGTTTTCAGCAACTGTGGGCAAATACAAAACCTCGTGTAAGCAGATAAGTCTGAGTGTTGTAGTGTCAATATGGCAAATATTGTCTAGTAGTCTTTGGTTCATAATGAAGGAATGATTCTTGGGATCATGTTGTTTGACCTCCTGATGACACAGGCTGTAGAAAATTTCACCCAGCAACTTCTCCTTTCCTTTCAGAAGAATGTTCAGACTTATTTAAAGAGTGCAGATAACTGGAACTCAGAGGTGTCCTGAGGGTAGTTGTTTTGGTGAGTAATTATTTCTGGTGATTTATAAAATAATAAATCCAATCTGAGTTTATGTCTTTGTTCCATATGTTGAAACATCTTCATCCTTTGTCTGCTTAATTAAGGAGCCTGCTGGTAATGGAAATCATTTCCCATGATGTGGACAAATCATTGATTAGCCTTCTTTTTCCTAAAGTGATCATATAATTTAAACTCTTTCACACAATCTGTTTTCAGGCCCTTAAATCCTATGCATTTCTCTCTATTTTTCAGCATCTTTTTAAGCTGGACATTAGAGGTGGCTATTCAGGGACAGCAGAATTCCACATTTTACTCATCTTTTCATTAACACCATACATAGAAACTCCACTTCTGTAAACTTATCTCTCTTCCATCATCGAGACTTTTCATCAGATCATGGCCCTGAGACCTTGTGTTGCATTTATTTCCCTGGCTCCCATATATATTTTTAATACTCCAACTTTCAACATATGCTTTTCCTTTCTGTAAGTGGAGTAGATCATTTGCCATTACATTCTTTGACGCTAAACAAGTAGACTTGTGTTTTTCCATATTAGTGTCTGATCTTTGATAAGGCTGGGCATATGAAGGAGATTGAGTTATTTGACTGTGCTCATCTAAGTTATGGCAATACTTATCACTTAAGCCAGTTCTGAGTTGCGTTGGGCTGTGAAACTTGTCTCTGTAGGCCCAGTTAAAAGCACTTCCATTCACTGATGGTTCCTCATTAAAATTACATCTTGTCAATTATCAGTGACTTTTGAAGTGTTCTGTAGTAATTTCATGTCATGGTATTCTTACAGTCAGCATGTGGTGTGTCACTGAGCTGTTTGCAAAAAAGAAGCCTGCAGTGCTGGCACACCTGCTGCCCCCCTACACCCCCACACTTTATTAAATATATGAAAAAATAATTTCAGGATTATTCAAAAGGCTCATTGAGGATCCCATCACATGCAGATACAGGGTTCCCTGCAGTCACAATGATTTCTATTGCTTTCATCTTCCAGGTGGCCATTGGTTTTCCAGGAGACACTTTATGGACGCTTATGTTGGTATTGAGGTATTCATAAAATCGACTATGACGAAGATAAAGCAAATTACAAATTTGGTTTTTGAGCACTCTTGTTTACCCATACTTTTTGTCGGCTCTGGGGTTTCTACTGGTGTCTAATTTAATGACTTTCTTTTCATTCTTTAGGAGTTCAGTCCTCCAGCAATTGCTCTGTGATGTTGCTTTGGGTCTCATGTCCATCGTGGCTGCTTACAACTGGACTAATATTTTCAGTCCATCCAAAACCCTCCTGTCTATCTCCTCGCCTCATCTGTGTCTTTTCCTTAGCCTGATCATGTTTTTCCATTGTTCTGCCCTTGAGGTACCTCCTTTCCAGCAGGAATATGGAGTAAAACCTTTCATCTTCTGATCACTGGGGTGTTGCTTTCTATTTCCCATCCCCTCAGTGCTCACCCTGGTATTTCTTATTCACTTAGCACCCCTTGTCCTTATCTCTGGGACTCTATGATTCCACCTTGATTACTTCTTTCTCTCTCTCTTTTTACCACCTTTGCTTTTTCACAGTTTTGTCTTGAACAGTCCATTTGTTTCCTTGACATTAACAATTACTGACAGCCTGGTATCCTGTCTCCAGCAGTGGCAAATAGCAGATGCTTAGGGAATAATATAAAAAGCAGGGTGAGAATATAATAACCTTAATATACCCTGGCAGCAGCGATCAGTGTCACGTACGCCTGACTGTTGTGAATGTGTTTTAGCACTGCCCAGTGGGGGATATAATGCCTAAAACCTTGTGGGTGAGGAAAGGATAATTTTACAAGATGGCAAATTTTCTTGTGTAACCACCTCTTTCCAGAAGCACTGCCTTTTCCTTGCTTTGCTTAGCACAAGCAGCCACATACTTATTTCTGAGCCAGTCCTGAGGTTTATCCACAGGACTCCTCACAGCTGATTGAGTAGAAGCTTCTGTTTCTCTCCCTTGAGTCTCCTTGAGGTGGTTGCAGTGTGGCAAGATGAAGGGAGAAATCCTTGTGTTTGCTTATGAGCCCTTAAATGATCATGCGGCTTGACAGATTCCTCTGGCATTCAAGCTCTGACTAGTTGCAATACAATCTGACAAGTGAGATGTTGAAAATTTATGAAAATCGTGGCCACAAAGGGGAGGGAGAGACCCAAACCAGTATCCCTCATCTCCTGAGGGGTTACAGGTGTCTGACCTGCTTGTCCCATGGTAGAGCATCCCTGGAGCATGGGGATGGTGGCCAGGTGACCAGCAGCATGGGCTGGCCCCACTGACTGGCCCTAAGCTGCACAGCTGCTCTTCTCCATCAGTGGTTTGATGAATCAGGGCTTGACACACAGAATGTGGGAGGCTGTGGGAGTTACCAGGATGTGCACTTTGCTACAGTGTGAGATTGAGATGTATCACGGCAGCCAAGTTTGTCAGAGGAGGCGTGTGGAGGGTTTGAGGGCCTTTTCTCTCTGCACCTTTGTTGTTACTTTGGGGTTCATTCACTGTTTACAGATTATGTGTTTTCTCCAGGATTCCTTCAAATCTGAAACAAGGTCTGAACTGTGGGAAGCAGGTAGAAAAACATATTTCAATTTTTTTATTGAGAGGTTTGAAATTGCATTTAAAAAATACTTCTGTTAGCAAGTAGAATATATCATCAAGGGCACTGACCAGCTAAATCAGAGAAGTGATGTTGCAGGTGTTAGACCTCTAGTTACTAGTTCTTCAGCTGACACTTCCTCTGTTACCATCACTGCTCTAGTATCCAACACACCACAGTTTGATTTATCCTCACCTGATTGTCAGCTTTACTGATAGAATTATTTTATTTCTGGGTCCTGTTTTCTTCACATGGTATATTTTCTTCTGTGGTTGTTGCTTTGTACATTACTATCTGCAAAATTTTTGGAGAAGTCCTTGGGACTTCCTTAGGGTAACATATAAAGGACCAGTGGGAAGACAGAAGCACTTTATAGACATGATGGGTATTCAGTACCCAGCTCTTCACTGCTTGACCTCATCAGTAAGGGAAAGGGTTCTTCTGTTCATAGAGGTGGGTCCATAAGTCCCTACAGCTCTAAGTGCTCCTGTTGAGTAAGCCTGGACATTATTCTTGCTGTCTGTTTTCCCCTCTCCTCTCCTCTCAGAAGCAGAGGAGTTCCTATTGTGAGCTGTGCCAAGTGATCCCAGCAGTGGCTTTAGAGGATGTTCAGAACAGGGTGAGGCACACAGTGTACCTTTCCCAGATGGAGGTTTCCAACTTTGTGCAAAGTTGTGCATACCAGAGCTCAGGAATGTGTGCATATGTAAATTATCCTGTTAGAAATTCAGGGCAGAAAGGCACATAGTTCCTTTGATGCCAAAGGGAACTGTGTCTAGAGACTCAGGGTAGAAATATGCCTCCTGATACATGTTTTAGTTCTGTATAAATCATCTGTAAGTATAGCACACTCTATTCATTTAGCTGGTGACAGTGTTATTTAGGGGTGATATGAAACAGTCACAAAGTAATAAGGACTGCCTGAGAAGAAAATATGTGCTAAAGCTCTTAGGTGTAATGCTAATTTAAATAAAACATGTGTTCTATTGGGGCTATAGAATATTCCTCCTAGAAGTCTTTATAATATTCAAGACGTGGATGCTTAAAAGTTGGTTTTTTTCAAAATGAAGATGCCATGATTATTTAAGAATGCTGAGACTCCTTTTTAGGTTAAGTTGATTCATGCTGTTCTTAAAAGAATGTTTTATGGGTATCTTAGCGGTAGGGACACCTGTGATTATCTAATGTATGCAAATGCAGTCCAGCAGCATATACCCCTAAACATGATGGAAAGCACAGGGACGAGCTCCTCATCCTGCTGCCAAGTCAGGCCATGTTTCAAGTTAGGCTGATGAGCAAGGGCGTGTTAAGCAGATATTACTTCAGTGATTGCTGAGGCAGATATGGGGCACAGAAAAAGAATGTAGCTCTCTGTAAAAGCTGAATAAAAATGAATTTTGCAAAAAGAAATCTCCAGATTTTATATTAAACCAAATTATGAATGCATTAAGGGTAATAGCCACTCTACCTGGGGAGTGTTTATTGCCCCAGCTCTATTTCTCTGAAGGTTATTCACTGTGTGGGTATTATGCTGTAAAATCCTTTGCTGAAGTGATAACCTTGTGCTGTGTGCAAGCAAAGTGAGGTTAGATTGGAGTAATTGCTGCTATCTCACAGTGCAGGTGCTTTCTAGTTATGGTGCAGATATTAGAACAAACAAGTCGTAAAAACTTTAGGCATACCTTTATACATATTAAAAGATAAGCGTGCATTTTTTAATGTGTAGATTATTGGAATTTGGATTAGAGCATAGTTATGATAAGAGATTGTTATATTATCTGTCGAGGAACATACCCAGCGCAGACAGCTCCATGTGCAGCTGCAGGTTGTGCCCCGGGTGGGGGAAATGGCCTGAGCCCCTGGTTGGAATGGATAAGGTGTGTTTGCCCCTGGCTCTTTCAGTTGTGGCAGGGCAAATACTGTGCAGCACTTCAGTGAAACCTCCTGTGGGCTGGGAAAGAAAAAGTGTGAATACTGTGCTAATGATGCTAATTTTGGAGAAGAGATACCAGGAGGGCAAGTTGTCTCCCTCCCTGATGAAGCAGTGAGCACCATGTGCTTACAGGGGTTTGTTCTGTTGCTGTTTAGGCCGCTTGGGCTCATGTGACTCCTTTTCTGTATGTTCTCACCTCTCAGAAAATGTGGTTTCACAGGCCACAGTGTTTTTAAATGCATGTCTTAATAGGAGAAAATGACTTACAGTGATCGTTTTATTGTCCTGCCACGTAAACTCTTCAGTAAATGCATATGGTCACAGAATCATTTAGGTTGGAAAAGACCTCCAAGATCATTGAGTCCAACCTTTGACTGGTCAGCCCCTTGTCAGCTAGACTTTAGCACTGAGTGCCACATCCAGTCATTTCTTGAACACCTCC